CTGATACAGAATCGCAATTTTAAAAGGAGCAAAGCAAAGTAGGAGGATACTTTTTTTTTTTTTTTTTTATCCATTTGAACTTTGAACTGTGTCTATATGACTATGTGAGTATATTTATTATGTGTAAAAAACAAAACAAATGGAACCTGTTTTTCCTTTTGGTCTAATGGATGTTCGAAGCGCTGATGTTACACGACTAGCACTTACTTGTTCTTTTTAAGACAGTTTACATGGTTCTAACGAGTAAATCAGTTGACTGGTAAAGTAATTACAACTGAGAAAATTTCACATTAGTTAGCCCAACAAAGTTATTTAAACTAGTAATTCTGAGGAAATATATATACAGTATGTAGCACTGGTGGTACATAGTCCAATTTTGAGGTACTTGTTCTTGAGCAATTACATTTTTTGCTACTTTTTTATTATCCTGGTTAAACCATGGTCCCTTGCCATAGAAAAATAATGTAGACAATGTGCATGCGTTTTGTCAATCAAAATCTTTTCACAAGCCATAACTTTTCCTGGTAAGACCTGAGGTTTTACTAATACCTAAAAGAATCATTACCATCCCTTAAGGTTTTATGCAATTGAAAGGGTGTTCACTAGACCATTAAATAGGACAAACCTTACACATTGGACACACGGCATGTATGAACAGTGCTTGACAGTTGCCTCGCTGAACTGCTGCAGCTTGCACACCTGTCGTGTCCACACAGAGAGCATTTCAAATTTTATTTTAGGTCTATGACATATTATACAGATATATGATTATTTCCTTTTCACTCTTTTTCTGGGAAAGGCACACTGCTCGTGGAAAAAAACATAACTCTCTAGTGAAGCGGTGCCACAGCCGCACCGGCAACATGCCTCTGATGCAACAGGAGATCTTACTAGTCCACTCCACTCATACAACCCTTTTGTTCAGCAATGAGCAAGACAGCTAACTTTTTGCCTGCAAGATTGCATTCAGCTGACAAACAGTAAATATAATATGACAGCAAGCTATCCAGCCATGTCATTGTCCCCAATTCAATATCAAGATTTGGTTGTGTGTTATAGTCACCATCCCCATGGTGTTCAGAGGATGAGCCACTGAAGGTCTATACTATTTCAGTACGTTAATTCAGACCTGTGAACAGACAGTTTCACTGGAAATACTAGGTGGTGTAGTAGGTGTTCTATATCTGGAATTAATGGACACCCTGCAGCCAATCAGAATGGAATATTCATCCAGATCATGGTGTAATACAGATGAATCTACCCAACAGCATATAAAGTAATTAAAGTTGGCTCCAATAGCTGCATCATTTAAGTGATATACATCAATAATTATAATGCAATAATAGAATATATTGTTAAATTGAAATTAAATGAAAGTTAAACTTTGATTGCAGTAACTTTTTTGCTATTGCTACTTCTACTTAATTAAAAAATCTTAAAGGTCCAGTGTGTAACATTTAAGAGGACCTGTGGGCAGAAATGGAACATAATATGCATAGGTATGTTTTCATTACTATATAATCACCTGGATATAGGAATTGTTTTCATTACCTTAGAATGACAGAGCGAGCGGGTCATCTTCCACGGAGTTCACCATGTTGATTCTACAGTAGCTGAGAAAAACCAAACACTGGCTCTAGAAAGGGCCTTTTGCAAGTTCCGTGGCCACCATAGTTTTTCCTACTCACTTCACAGCCCATTCTCATTCCCAGGTCTTCAATTATAGATGCCAGCAGTGTTTATTTGGTTTTTTATCAGCAATGTCACTGCCAGATGCAACTAAATCCTTCATACTGGTTCTTTAACACTGATCTTCCAGCACTGCTATATAGAATGGATTTGAATGTGAAGACCAAACTAACTTAACTGAAAGACAGCTAATTTAAAATCTTTTTTTTTTTTTGTTTTTATTTTCCAGATCAAGTAAACCACACTAAAGGTGTCAATGCAAACCAAGACACTGACTACTTTCTTTGCATTTGATAGGGTCCAGACTGGAACCGAAGCAGAAACTATCTTCAAGCAGTGCTGATATACTTGCCCCCAGTGATAAGAAAACCTCCTGTTGTAAACCTGTTGTTGGAAACATAATAGAAAAATATCCAATCCTGGGTCCCAGCCCAGTGCCAGTATCCAGTGGCTGCTAGATTGGCCATGAGCAGAATTTAAAGCCCATGAAATATGGAAAAGGGCACAGTGTTGGCCTGGAGCCTGGCCACCCACTCAGCCCTCAGGCAGGGGTCCCAACCCATCACATCTCTGCCTCCTTCCCTGTGTGTGTGCGTCTCCCTCTGCCTATTCACCTCCACACACTATTTGCTAAATTGGTTACACACTGCTCCGTCATTATGATGAAATGAGCTCTGATTGCCCAATGCTTTGCCAGGTAAAATACATTTGTTATTCTATTACAGCATGATAGACAGGGTTGCCCAAAGATGAATGCAAAAAAAGTCTTTAGCATCACAAGGTTTGCCAGGGGCCATTTTGGCTCTATTCGGATGGTTTTTGCCAAGTGGCAGGATGGCTGCCAGTTTCCACAGCAATCTCCGCCACCTGTGATGGATGGCCCAGTGGGTTAGGCTACACAAACGCAGCTGTGATTGCACAGAGCCATAATGGAGGAAAAGGGGGGACCTGTGAGCAGGAGATAGACAGAGGTTTTATAAGCTTTCATATTGCTTTGAGCTGAAACATTGAGAGCAGATTCAAAGCTTGGAGACTGTGGAGAATTAGCTGCGGTCAACCATAGCTGGACTAGTTTGCTCTGTGCCCTGACAGAGAAATAATTGAACAAAAACTTTGAACTGCTTTTTTTTGTTACTTTTTGTCAAGCCAAGCACACAACATTGAGGATTAAACACAAATCCACTGCATTTGTTAATTAAAGGGACATGGAACTCAATTTAGAATTCATTTTTTACAAATCCGTGCATACATCATTGCACATCTGAGGCCTTGTATAAAGCATCTAAAATTCTACAAAACATCCAACAACGATCAGAAATCCCTGTAGTTTAATCTCTTTCTCAGGAACTCTAATATTGAGAAGACCACCAGAACTTTTAAGGAAAGTTTAATATAATTTAAATTTTGATAGTTTTCTATATCATCAGAATATGATTAGGCTTTGGATTATTGATCAGACAAACCAAGACATTACCATGGCTTCTGGGAAACTGTAATCGGCATTTTCTCAATTTTTCTCTATATTTTCCTCTTTTTATGAAAAAAAACAACTGGCAGAAAAACTGATAATGAAAACAGTTCTCAATTCAAAGACCCAATTCATCATTTTCCACTGAGTTCCATGGCCTCAGACTTGTAGGTGCTCAATCTCATTCCAGTAACTTCACACATGGTGAACATGGCAGGGAGGATTGCTTCCTGTGATTACCAAACAAGACATTCAGCAGTGGCAGCATTTGACAGATATATAAAAGTATATATATAAAGCTATTTGGCAAAGTCAATCGAAAAAGTTTACCTGAGCTCCAACAATTCCAACAATGGAGTCCTCCATTGTGTTCTGCACTAAATCTTGTTTACCAGTCCAATTTGTTTTGTAGCTAGTTCTGGTGAAACTTGCACCAAATACAAATGTCCTTTTCAATGACATTGGGAAATTTTAGTGTTGGTTAAGTGTTTTGGTCCTTTTTGCGTATCTGTACATAATACTAGATTCACAATAAAACATGACAATAAAAGTTTATTTTAGTCTAGTCATAAAAGGCCCTGGGATAAGCAAGGCTACATGTTTTACAAACATTTTCAGTTCAGCAAACGCATCTTCTTAGACCAGGCCACCTTGGGTGGATTATTGTGTGTATTTGCACCAACTCACATCTTTCTGTTGACTTTGCATAAAATTCTGTCTGAACCAAGTGATTTCACCTTTTGGTTTGTGGAGTACTTTGTTGAAGCCTTAAGTTTGGCATTGTAGTTTTTGCCATGTTGGTTAGTTGCAGCCAGCAGCAGTGACATACTGCACTCACTGGCTGGGCATTTGACTTGCATGAAACAATGGTGGCTCACCTGGTCACAGTCTTTCTCGTATCATGGATAAACGGTACACCAGAATCTGTCTATGAAAAAGATTTTTAGGTGAGAAATAGTCAATGCAGCAACAAAATCTGGATCCATATCTGTATCTGATCAGCACTACCTAATTTGACAGTTTGATCTGAGTTTGGTGCGTTGAGCTGGACGGACTCACTGAGAATGACCTGTCAATCACAAGGTAGTCCCAAGCCAAAGCATACACTGCTTTATGGTCTGTTTTACTCTAAATTGGGCCATCATTTACTAAATAATCATCATGCTGTATGGAAGAAGACTGAAACTAGAGAGTGAGACCATAAACTCATCAGGAACTGTTTACTGAGATAATGAATCAAGTGAGAAGTGAGACTGTATGCTATCAGTCTTTTTTTTTTTTTTTTGCAGACAATGGAGCTGCCCCCTGCTAGCTGACCATTAAAACACTTCTGCATTGGATTCACTTCACAGACCTAAAACTGTCCACTATATATACTGTCAGTAGTCCACCTTAAAGGGAAGTGCTAGACAAAATCCATGATACCATAATAATATATATTAGAAGTAAGAGGAGGTGAATCCTAAACATAGATATTAACCTAATTATATTTCACAAGTATGAGAAGAGTGAAGTGCTAAATCAGTGAAGTAGTATTTTAAGTAACTAATTAGCCTAATTACCTGTCAATCACATCAAGGCGACACCCAGGAAAGAGCAGTATTCCATATTTGGACACATGGTGGAAGACTGCATACGTTTTAAATCCCAGCTAATAAAGATGATCTAAGTAAAAAAAAAAAATAATAATAATAGTTATTGAGCTCACCATCAGAATAATTAGTCATGGTTTTGAGTTTCCTTTACTTATAATGTGGTGTTTGCCAGTTCGTGCCAGTGGCTGAACTCAGACAGACACTGAGGTTGAACACTGGTGTAACATTACTGTGTCTTTTCTCCGTAGAGGGACATGCTGGACGTCAGTCAAATCATGAAGGATCTGGCCAGTATGGTCCATGAACAAGGAGATGCCATAGGTAAGATATTCTGTGTGTAGTTGTTTTCACTACTGTCCCAATTAGCAAAGATAACCATTGTGGTCGTGTTTTAATTTGATGTGCTTGATTAATAACACAAGTTTGAAAATTCTGCTGGGCAAAACAAAACCTTTTTAACCTCCACCTTGCTGCCACGCTGGAAGATTTTTGGGCGAGAAGGAAAATGCTCTGGGTTCATACAAACAGTGGCTGTTAGAGAAAATCCATTTAGACACCATGCTATCTGTAAACGCCTCTCCACACCCTGCAGTGATTTAGACTTGGCAAAACAGAATGAAACTTAGCACACAGATATAGGGCAGATATGGAGGCTTTGCTGCTAGGTCATAATTCTGCCATCAGTTACGTCTGGCTCCATCATGAACATTCCCTATAGAATTGGCTGTTGCTTAATAATGTCAAACAACCACGTACACAGAGACATACCTGAAAAATGTTGTTGTGATGGGCTTGTAGATCAATTCTGAGTTGAAGTGAAAGGTCAGATGATTTTCCAAATTGAGGCCACTGTCTTTAGTTGTTGTCAGTGCCGCAAAACACTTTAAACTGTGGATTGAGTCTTTCGGCTTATTTAGCCAAATAAATGAGTATCATTTTAACCCCAGTCTTCCCAATGACTCCTTTAAAGGATAAAGTCTTGGTCCACCTCTCAATACCTTTTCTTCCCTTCCCTGTCTTTTGCACTCAGCTCTGAGCCCACTGGCTGGAGGCTCATTATTTCCAGACATTGTAGTTTTTAGCAAACATTTCTCCAACAGGAGCAGAATAGTGCATTTGTCAGGGACTATTTTCAGCCATGGATTAATACACAATTGGTAATCTAGTGAGTATTTACAGTACATATATCATATATACATCATTTATTGTTGTTTTTGCTCTTTTCATTAGATTTCTTGATTGCAATATATATATATATGTATATGGAATATAATATTCACCACAGAGAGTTCTCTAAAGTCCGCCTTGTTGAACCGCCACGTTTCTACAGCTTTTGTGAGTTTCTTGGCCACTGTAATTTCTCATACATGGTTGGAAGGCTGAGCTGTATTCAGGTGGTTGCAATCTGCAACTTCACCGCTACATGCCACTAAATTGTGCATGTTGGCTCATTGGAAAGGCTCACTAAATGGAATGGAACCTTAATTAGTATCATTGGTAACACCTGTGCTTACCAAACAATTTCATGTCAAAATGGCTGCTGTGAAAACATCTATACACTGGAGTTTAAGAGGTTATCAAACACCTGTGTTAACATGCAATAATAGCAATTATGCTAATGCAATTATCACACTGGCTTTGACAAGATGTGTTTTGTTTTGTTTTTTACACCAAGCCTTGAACTTATGTTAAACACACAAGGCTCATTCACGGTATTAAGATTCCAAAATGCTCTTTTTGTAAATTTTCAGGCCTTGTCACTAAAAAACAGTCCAAGACTGTTAAAGGCAAGGGCACAAAACATAAAACAGGGAGACAATAGCATAGAGCTGGGTTTAATAAATACTTTAGATTAATGTTTAGTGTAGTTTCAATGCTTTATACACATCCCAGCTTTATGGCTTAAAACGGTGTGAAGATTGTACAGGCGAGAGTGTGTGCGTATGTGTGTGTGATGAAAAAGGGGAAGCAATAACTTTTGCTAATTGCTGCCTTTTTGTTGTAGAGTGTCCTTTTGTCTGCTGCTTTCAATCAGGCTAATGTAGATGCCCTTTAAATACCCTTTAGAGTCGGGCTGACTCAGACTGGCTCACCCCAGTTTGACCAGAATGGAATACCTGTTTTCTTTTCTTTTTTTCTCATTTCACCGCAATGCATGTAATAGTGAAATTGTATTTTTGGTAAAACTCTAAAGTGCTTTTTTATTTTATTTGAGTTTTATCATTTTTATGTCCCTGTACCATATTGAACTACAACAACAACAACAACAGCACATATGCTTGTTCTTTTATTGTGGATGTGTTAGAACATATTAAGGCTAATTCCCTGACAACAAAGTGCTAAGAGTGCTGAATGAAAGCCTAGAAGGTAACACACCACAAATAAAACATGAAGGCTACTTACTACTACTTACTAAAATGTGCTATATAATTTATATATTATTTATAAAACAGCACTACAGTGTGCCTGAGATTTCAATGCGTTATAACTTGCGAGAAAAAAACACCATACAGAAAAACAGCTTCATTAATTTGACAACACGTGTAGCATTTTAATAAATGCTGTGAGAATGTGAGAAAACAACCAAATACAAAAGTATGTTCTACAAACAAAATACAGAAAACACAACCAAATATAGAAATGCTGTAGGTTGTACAGAAGTCAACAGAAATTAGTTACATAACAACAGTTTCCAGGAAACTGTAAAAGTGATTATCACGTGAGCGGTCAGTGCTAATCTCAATGACAAACACATTGCATTTCCTGTGACAATTTAATTTGTGTTCGCAAGTTAAATGCTTTTAATGTGAAGCAGCAGCAGGAGGAAATGTTCAATTTGCATTGGCAGTAACTTAAAGGACCAGTGTGTAGGATTTAGTGGCATCTGGCGGTGTAGTTTGCAAATCACTCATTCCCCCCTTCCCTTCCAACCAAGAGAGAAACTACGATGGTCGCAAAAGGTGCGGAAAAACGCGAACAGCCATATCTAGAGTCAGTGTTTAGTTTGTCCATTCACGGAAAGTGACCCGCTGCATCTGTAGATAAAAAAGGCTCATTCTATGGTACTGAAAACACAACAATTTTCATATTCAGGTCAGTATACGGTAATGAATACATACCTCCGAAATGGACCTTTTAATACATCAATTCTTCCAGGAAAATCCTCGGGTCACCTAAGGAACCCAGTTTGTAATTCTGCAAGTATAGATATATTGCAATACTTTAATCAGTGGCCATAGGCTCAGTCACCATTTGTGTTACCTCATTTGGCAATAGATAGTGGCTTAACAGAACCTGCAAAAGAAATATATATATATATCTATATATATCTATCTATATATATATATATAGATGAGATGACCCATTAAGTATGTTTTGCGTTCCACGTGTCCATTCTCAGATATAGAATAAATGAACACTTCCTTCCATCACATTTAGACATCTTGGTTCTTTCTTCTGTTTGTAAATTCTGCTACACCTCTAGCTTGTTTAGCATAATCAGACATGCATGAACTGCACTGAGTTTTTCTGCCATTTTATCATTTGCATGTGAAAGACTGTTGATATGGTACTTTGGACATGGAAGGTAGAGGAACAGAGTGTGCTCCCACCCAAATGGGCGAACAGAGAGACAGAAGAGAACTCTGTTGAAGAGTACATCATACTTCAGCAGAAGTCTGACCAATCTGATCATTACAGAGCCCTGCAATAATGGGCCTCTTCCCATTAAAAAGATGAACTAAAATTGCCTTTGGCCTTTTTTAAACAAGCCTTTCTTGGTGTGGTGGATATGAATAATATGTGATTGTGCCACAAAGCCGTTTGTAGCAAAAGCAACGGGTAATACAACAAAATGAATAGCCTCAAGAATGAAGGATTAGTGCTTTTATGGCCTATTCATGCTGGCTAAGGACACACTATATTAAAACCCATGAGTCTAGATACACAATCAACAAGGTTATTTTCGGCAGGCAGACACAAACTCTGGCACACCACACAAAAGAGGTGTTAAAAAAGTATTCATACAGATTGAAAGAGTACACTCTTTGTTTTTCAGAGTAATTTTCATTAAAATATTCTGAGATTGGACTGACTATTTCTATTGCATAGTATAATGGGCTAGACATGTATGTTTATTTGGTATTTTCATATTTGGAATGTTTGATTGAATTTTACCAAGAGTTTTAATGGATTTTGAATAGGCTGTCAGAAGACTGTGGCGGGTGGTGTGTTACACAGAACCATTTAGGAAGTTGTCACTGGAGACACTTTGGAAGAGGGCTGGCACTTAAATACATGGCAGGGCATTGGATGAACCATCTGTCTGTCACTGTCTTTCATGGGGAAACATCAATCAATCAGTTCAACGAACGATATGACATAGTCAAACTCTTACCGATCCAGTCAGTAGGGCAAAAACACATTTTTGAAGGTTCTCACAAAGTGTAATGTGAATCTGTGTATTAGACGCAGATATTTCTGTGTACAATGATAGATTGATAGGACTGTTCTCAAGTTTCGCTGCTAAAATAGATTCTCCTACACACTTCACACCCCGTTCTCATTCCCATATCATCTCACACTGAAACAAATGGTGTTCAGTTGGTTGTTATCTGCAACTTTACCTCTAGATACCACCAAATCTTACACACTGGACCTTAAAGTCAGGACCAAAGTAGACTGACCACCTGACAGACCCACATTGACATTCTTGGAGCTATTTTCAGTGAGTCATGAGGGTTTTTATATAAACTTAATAGCACAAGGTACTGAAATCATGCTACATATGTAGATTATATTGAGCCAAGAAACATTTCGATTTATTCAAATGTTTAGATGTTTGATAAAACAAACAAACAAAAAAATGCCTTAAAGGGCCAGTGTTTAGGAATTAATGGCATCCAGTGGTGAGATTGCAAATTGCAACCAATTGAATCCCCTTGACTAAATTAAGTGCGTAGGAGACTCCGCAAAGCTTGCGGAAAATGTGAAAGGCCCTATTTAGAGCCAGAGTTTGGTTCTGTTCTGTTCTGGGCTACTGTAGAAACATGGTGGTTCAACATGGCTGACTCCGTAGAAGATGACCCGCTCCCTCTGTAGATAAAAATGGTTTATTCTAAGGTAACAAAAACACAAAAATTCTCATTTTCAAGTAATTATACACTAATGAAAACATACTATGAATATTATATTATATGTCTGGAAACAGATCCTCCTAAATGTTACTTTTCAATATAGCACGAAAAAATTGTTGTATTTAGTGCTTATCTAAATCAAACACAGACATACTTATTGGTCTAAATGATTGGTGCTCTAAAAAGAAGACTGAAAGTGCAATATCAATCAATTATGAAAAAAGGAATAGGACCTGCCCATGCAGAAAAAGAAAGTATGACTCAGTCCAGGAGTCAATATTATTCTAAACTTTAGCTAGTGAGTCTAAACATGTGTTCATGTATTCCTTTGTTTTCTAAAGGAGTAAGAGCATTTAGTCAATTGGCACAATTCATTCACTTCACCTCCTGCTCTTGCTAAGTTCAAAAGTTAATTCTCTACAAGCTCAGGTGGTGCAGTAATTATCAGAGGCCATTAGAACATGAAACAGAAGTCTTTACTCACTTCTCTGAGCCGGCTGTTCACTCTCACAATACCAAAACAATCAATAGCACCCTCACTGTTATCAGCCAGTTGTGAATATATGTGGGTAATTATATGGTAATATAAAATATTTTGGACCATCCAGTTCGTTAAACGTGTTCTGTCTTATCCCATTACCTTCTGTGTATTGGCAGCCTTTAAAGGAGGCCCTGCTGTTTTAACAGTATTAACAATCAGACCACTAGTCCTTGGTAACACCGAGGGCTGGCATGTAATGTGCTGCCAAGCATGTGTGTGCAGAGTCACAACAAAAGTCATTCCCTCCATTAAGGTCAGGGTGGTCAAGCAAGTTGGGACACACAAAGATTAGAGGAGAGCACATCTATTGGGAAAACAGAGGATACTGTATATAGTCATCTTTTCCCAAATTGTCTGTAAGTATGATCTGAAGAAAAATGGGGATGCATGTGGTGTATTTTTGCCAGAAGTCCTTCTTGAAGTTGCTCCTTGACTGAATGCTACTATTAATGTGAAGCTAGTAAAAATATGTTCAGGTGTGAAGTCAAAATGTTTGCTTATATCCTTTTTCTGTTAATTCCTTGATGCAAATATCAAGTGCTACCAATGGAATTTGGAAAGCAAGAGCTTTTAAAATAACATAAGAGGACTACTTTTTGATACTGAAAATATTATGCTACAGAAACACTAGAAAATGACCTTTGTATTATTGTCTGATTGCTAAAAAAAACATATATTAATATGTTTGGCGGGAACTAATCACAAGAGTTGTCTGTCAGATTACAGATTACATTTTTGCAGCCATCTCATTTTAATGTGTACTGTCATAGGATTGCATCAAAAAATATGTTAACTTTAAATCTATGCTTTGCTATCAACACTATAATTTTACCATTGAAACATGCATTACATGTATACTACCTTTAATTGTATACCATATCAACATAATTTAAGCCCAAAAAGGCCAGGCTGTATCTTGCAAGCTCAATTTTGGATATACAATTTAAGTCTAGAAACAACGTGATGTGAAGCTTGAGGGGCCAGTGTGTAACATTTGAGGATCTATTAGCAGAAATAGAATATAATATTCATAGGAATGTATTCATTAGTGTATCACCTGAAAATGAAAGTTTTTGTTACCTAAGAATGAGCCATTTTTTTCTACAGATGCCACAAGTTTGCCTTCCATGGAGTCCGCCATTTTTAACTGTCACGTTTAGCCCAGAGGGAACAAACCAAATATTGGCTAGAGATAGGGCCGTGCACGTTTTTTGAGAGTTTGACAGCTTGGAAGCAGAGGGTGAAGTGAGGAGTTGCAATCTGCAACTACAACGCTAGATGCTACTTAATCCTACACACTAGTCCTAGTCCCTTTTTTTACAGAATGAATGCCTGTGACCTAGCAGCAACTGAATGTTATTGGCACTGCATGGGGAGTTTTGTTTATCCATATATATTTTTTCAATCAATCAATCAATCAATCAATAACAAACACACGTTTGCATGTATAGAATAAAAGTGGTCTCTAAGGGTTCTATTTGTAGACTGTAGCTGAATAAATATATTAATAAATAAGCCTGTACTTTTTTTGTTATGTGTGATAAAACACGATTTTTACAGTTGTGTTGCGTGAACTGGGCTCAACTGTTGTGTTGTTGTGCCACCTGACCACAGTGATGTAAATTGTTGGAACTAAAGTGACCCATTAACAATCAGTCTTCCCTTTGTTCGCTTAGACAGCATCGAAGATTACATCCAGACTGCATCATCCAACGTGGAATCAGCCAATCAGGAGCTTGCAAAGGCCAACCAATACCAGGTACAGTGAACCGCCCCGTGCCACAGTGTGCTCCACGCTTTGCATTCACTTTGTTCAGTTTCCATTTTGTGTAGTTGACTGAGCTTTTGCATTGTAATGCAGTCACAAGAAGCTTAGCTTGATCAGCCATGCAAACAGGGACTTTGCTAACTAGATTACACAGCTTTATCACATCCCCCACTAGCATAATAACACAGATGATGTAATTTCATGTCATACTTTACTAGCTTTTGCCTTCAGTTAAATTAATTGTATTTAGAGACAAAAACATAAAGTGCTTGCCTGGAGTCTTATAAAAACACAAAACCACATATATAATTCCAATTCCATGAGCAAGTCTTACTTCTATTGAGATAATGGTTATAAATTTGCAATTTTATCCAACAAGTGTATTGACTTAGAGAGGAAAATACATTAATGGGCAACAACTGCAGCCAGAAATTAAATAGAAAATGTTTTTTTTTACTCTCTCTGGTTTTTGGGGTGGCTAGAATTTCCACTTCACAGCACATATTGGAGAGACGTTTTATGAGATGCCCAAGGGTCTGCTTTCGCTCTTTCTTTTCAAGGAAATATATGTGTCTTCTGCTATTCTGTCAGGGACTATCTCAGTAGGCCAGAGCTCAAAGTGGCTCTGCTGTGTAGGCCCCTGGCTATGGTAAATAATGTATTGACTCAAGTGTCACTGGGTTAATAAAGGATATACCTTTTTTACATGGGTTACACAGCTTCAGAGCTGCATCTAAACTCAGTACCTGCAACACCTTTTGATAGCCATGGAAAATATATATCTGAGCAATATTTAACATTTAGACCATCAGTGATATGTGTCTTTTCAATAAAGAAAGAAAAAGGTAGACATTCCATTTTAATCTAATACCAAAATTATATTTTCTTTCAATCATATTTTGGCTACGGAGCCATGGACTTTAATTTTTCTATATTTGCATAGATTTTCAACATCACATCAGCAGCTATTCAATATGAAAACAATTGCTGGGCAGTTTTCAGAGTCTGTCACGAATGCAGGGGTTTCTGTCTGTCCCCCCATGCTGCTGCTCTACTAGTGAGCGAACAAATGAGCGACTGGCAACAGCTTTCCCATTAATTGTCATTTCATTATCTCAAGGAGAGCTGAGCCGTGACCGAGCTCACACTGAGCAATTTAGCTCTCCGCCAATCCAGACAGCCGCTGTCTTTACAGAGGCAGAGCAGTTGAATGGAAGAAAAACAACAAAGAAGAAGAAGACAGACAGACAGACAGACACAAAGTCAGTCAGTCAGTCAGTCAGACAGACAGACAGCATGATGGACCTGGACAGAGGCCAGATTCTTGACATCTAACGTGATTACTCTTTTCTGTCAAAGTTACAGACTTTACAGCTGCTACATACAGTGCACGTATAGAGCTATTGATACTAAAAACAATGAGATTTCTCATAAGGCAGTATCTGTCATACATCATAAATATATGTCTTTGTGCATGGCCTGCAGTCCATTAAAATCATAAAACCAGTTCCTGTAACTGTATGGCTATGCCACATATAGAGTGTATCTGCTTATTCCAACTCTTTATTAAAACCCCAGTGTGTGAAAGGGATTATTGGTAATATTGTATGTTCAACAGACATTTTACCTGCTGTCAGTGCCTTCATACTAACTGACTCTACAATTCCTTACAGTGCACACATTCTCCAGCAGAGTTACACATGACCTGAAAATTCCATAGTTTTCTTCTCTTAGTTATTCACACTGCTCTTAAAGCATTCTTAGAACCTTTGTATCCCCAGGGATCTTTTAGCCCCAAGCTTAAGAGCTTTTCACACTGCATATTGTTATGTACTGTTAGCCCTGGGCTAAGATTAGTTTTAGTTTTTTACACTGCACATGGCGCAGGGTTAAAAGAATTCTTAGAACCTTCTTAACCCCAGACAAAGGGAGCTGTTAGCCCGAATCAATAATATATTATTAATATATAATTAATAATAATAATAATAATTATAATAATAATTATATATATATATATATATATATATATATATATATATATTAAAGTGATTTTACACTGACACAATCCTGGAACATTCTAACCCCGACTTGAGCCTAGGGCTTGTTGGCCCAGCTCAGGAGCAGGGTTATCCTGAGTTTGCAGAGTGAAAATTGGCTAAATATTGGGCTAAAAGGTGCTAGTGTTAAATGGGGCTTAGGAAAACATAAAAGTAAATGTGTGCTCCACCCCTGGGTTCAGATTAACCCTAGGTTAAAAGTGTGAAAAGTGGCAAATTATTCCAGGGTCAACCTTTCACACTTGAAAGGCGTATTTGTGGCTTTTAGTACTTCCATTGTTTCCATTGCTGTACTTAAACTGAAACTTGTTGCATCTCTTACTCTTCAACTGATAGCTAAAGTATTAGCTTCAGCTGAAATGTCATGTGCGTGGCTGACACTTTTGAAACTGCTATGCTTGGGACAGTACACAATAAAAGTAATTGCACCAGAGTTAGCAACAGCTAATCTATATATGATGTCTTTGGGTAGCTATACTTATCAACTGCTCACATCTTTTCATACTTTTTAAATGACAATTTAACTGCTACACTTAAAGTGTACACACAAAAGTTGATATTTTAACCTGCTTTCAGCTTCTGCACATCAACTGACACTGCAGTAGATTATTCCTCTTCAACTGAGAACTTTCAGCTGCTACACGACAGTTGACATTTCAGTTGCTGTCACTGCTTACAGTGCACACATTTGCATCCACTACAGCAGAAATTTCAAATTCTTTTAACCCCTTCTCTTCAACTGACAAATTTCCTTTAGTGGTTACATGTCAACTGATATTTCAACTATTATATTTTAACTGATATTTGACAGCTTTCAGCTACACTCACTCTTCAGTTCACACATTGAGTTCTTTCACTTTCACTTTACTGCTTTCATTACTGTACTTAAACTGAAACATAACTTACTCTTTACCTGACAGTTTTGGAGCTTCCACTTCAACAAAAATGTAATGTGCTTTCATCCCTGTATGCTGTAACTGAAACTGCTTTTACCTGTTACACGTCACTTGACATTTCAATTGCTTGTTTGTCAGTGGACGCTAATGTAGCTGAATTTTAGTGTTGAGCGGACAGTTCAATGACTTTGACCGCTAAACTTTAAATTTCCATACTGTTGCTTTCCATGCTTACAGAGCAAAGTGCGCTTCACTGCTTAAAGTACACACACTTCGACTGAAACTCCAACTGTCATCTATTGTAAGTGATTACACTTCAACTGGCACTTCAGCCCTAAAGTGTTTCAGGTTTAACTGGAACTCATGCTCATAAGCAATTTAACATTAAGACATTTTAACATGTTTGGTTTTTATTTGTTATCACCACTAAAGTTTAAATCAAAGTACTTTGAACATGACCTGAAAAGCCATTCAGTTAATTGCAGGTGTCGTCTTTCTGTTGGTTTGAACAAACATTTTTTGGTAGTAATGAACATAAACAGTGAACAAATCTTTATAAAAAGCCCTTCAGTGTTGTGTTTTGATCAGAAAGATAGAAATGCTTTCACCTCCTGACGAAATTATGCAGACTGAAGGCTGTATATGATTTGAAGTCAGGGCCATTCTGGAACTAAAGTAGGTGTCAGATCCAAGATCTGGATCAGGTTCATTGCAGGTTTCAGCTGTTTGGCTGTTGGATGTGCCCTCAGACCACTAAATCTACTTCAATTGCCACTAGGGGCTGATGTGAACAATTTTACCAGTCAGTGGCTTGTATTTACCCAATATGAAGTGAATGTAGCGTGAAGTTAATGGCACTATTGTGATCGCATAAAAATTCAACACAACCTAGAGGGCGGGGAGGAAGAGCTTGAATGAAACAGACTGAACACTTTGCAGCAAGTCTAAGCACTGATGTAGCCTTGAACACTCCTTGATGCTGCTCTACATGCACCACTGCACATCTCCACCAATGGTCAATTAAGAGCGGATATCATTTTCTTCTCATGCCCCGCCTTGTCTACTCACTTTACATTGAAAATAAATTGAATCTATAATCCATTATCCGGAGGCAGATTACTCTCCCCGCTGCAAGTTTCCTAGTTGCGCTGATGTTTTATCACCTCATCTGTGTTCAGTGGACCGCAATGAACTCTGATTGTTGATTGCTGCACAAGATGGTATATAATTACCAATAAAACACTGATGTTCCAGCAATTCAGTGAACAAAAGCTGTAGCCATTTCACACGTAGAAAAAACTATGAAGTTATTATCGATTCGATCTGATGTAATTGTTAAGACTTAAAAGTCCATCCATCTTCAGAACTGAAATTGATCTCTGAGTGAGCAACTACATCCTTTTGAGTCTGAAAAAAATCAATGTAACACAGTTTTCCTCTGGCTTAATTGAGGATAATATAGAGTGCCGGCTATTGTGATTGTGAAAGGAACAAAGGGGAAAGAAAAGAAGACAAAAAGGAAGATGGCTTGTAAATGAATGGGCAGACGGATGAATGGACTCATCCACATGCAGACACATACAAATTGTTGCCCTTTTGACAAATAAGATAATGAAAAAGAATAACCTAATCACAGTGTTAAAGCTCTGACTGATCACTACACTCAGACTGGGGGATGGGCTAACGCTGACAGATTTCAGGGAAACTGGCCCACTGTTTAATCACTCTTTCCCCAGTCCCTCTGGACTCTTTATGCTACTTTGAAGGATATGGAGTGGAAATAACAATGTTTGAAGTTACCCAGGTTGACGTCAGTGACACTCCACTGGCTCTACCTTATCAGCCACAGCTGGCCCGAGCATGTTGGAGGAAAGAGACAACCTGACTTCAAATAAGACATGGATACATTTCTTAGATGTTTCTTAACAGGGGCGTTGGGTGGACTATTAACCATCAGCGGCAGATCACCCTAGACCTAGTAAGTCCAATGCTGAGATAGACCATTTGAGGTGACTCTACATCATGACATTTCTAAAAA